CCGAAGACAATGATCCAGCGATTTGTCTCCTGCCATCCCTCTCCAGCCTCTGACAAACAGAGGCCAAGGACACCATTTTATCCCCTGGCTAATAGCCTTTTATGGACCTAACCTCCAGGAAATTATCCAGCTTCTCTTTAAACTCTATTATAGTCCTAGCCTTCACAGCCTCCTCTGGCAAGGAGTTCCACAGGTTGACAACACGCTGTGTGAAGAAGAACTTCCTTTTATTAGTTTTAAACCTGCTCCCCATTAATTTCATTTGGTGTCCTCTAGTTCTTCTATTATGGGAACTAATAAATAACTTTTCTTTATCAGCCCTCTCCACACCACTCATGATTTTATAGACCTCTATCCTATCCCCCCTCAGTCTCCTCTTTTCTAAACTGAAAAGTCCCAGTCGCTTTAGCCTCTCCTCATATGGGACCCGTTCCAAACCCCTAATCGGGGGCACAGCCCGGGCAGGGAGGCAGGAAAGGGGTCAAGTAGCGAGTCAGGCTGAGGGGGGCAGGCCAAGCTCTTCCTGCCTTGCAGGGGCCCTGGCAACAGCTTCTCGCTTGTGCGCCGCTGCTGAAGTGGAGGAGCTGGGAGAGCGCGAGGTCTATAAAATCATGACGGGTGTGGAAAAAATGAATAAGGAATGCAGACACACTTGGGGTGCTGCAGGGTGGGGGCTCTTTAATGACATAAGAACATGAGAGTGGCCATATAGAGTCAGACCAAAGGTCCATTCAGCCCAGTGCTCTGCCTGCTGACAGTGGCCAATACCAGGTGCCCCAGAAGGAGTGAACAGAACAAGGAATCATTAAGAGATCCCTCCCCTGTTACCCATTCCCACCCCTGGCAAACAGAGTCACCATCCCTACCCATCCTGGCTAATAAGTACTGAAGGACCTAACCTCCATGAATTTATCCAGCTCTTTCTTGAACCCCGTTAGGGTGCGTCTCCACAACAGGGCTTAACTCAAAATAAGTGAGGTACGTCAACTGCATATCTCATTTTGAAATACAGCTCTCGTCCTACAACTTCCCCTATTCCTCATACAGTGAGAGTTACAGGAGTCAGAGTAAGAAGTCCTCCAGCTTGACAGTATTTTGAAACAATTTTGAAATAACTACCTGCTGCTCGGAAGAAGTCCTCGAGGTGTCACAAGAGGGCGCTGCTGCTGCTCGGGTGATCAAGCCAAGCAAACAGAGCTCCTGACCGTGTATTATACTCGGCTCACCGAACAAGAGAGCCACAGTAGACAGAGTGTACTCTTGACAAGTTTATTGCAAGCAATTCAGGAGGAAATTTTAAAAGCACTATATGTATATGGATATTTAGTACTTAAACAATTAAAACAAACCGTGAGATACATTAAAAGGAATAATTAAATGGAATACTTAATTTAAATCTAATTCTTAACCCAATTTAACACACACACTCATACACACACCCTCTGGGGCTGGCCAGACCCCAGTAATGTTGGTTAATTTGGTTGAGGCAGAAGTCCGATGTGCACGTCACCCCAATATACTGAATCGATGGACTCCAATTCGTGGGGGGAAACGGTGTGGTACATATCCCCTCGATAGGGGCCAGGCTGGTACGATGCCATCCACTGGTTGCACACAGTCCAAGTGGGGTGATATCCATCAGTGACACCCCCTTCTTACTGGTGTGTCCACGACCGATCCAGAAATATCGTTTTTTTCACCGCTTGCCTCAGCACGAGTAAGAAACAATGGTCCGTCCTTCGTTAGATTCTTCCCTTGTTACTTTTTCTTATCTGGCAATCATACACACACCCTCTGGGGCTGGCCAGACCCCAGTAATGTTGGTTAATTTGGTTGAGGCAGAAGTCCGATGTGCACGTCACCCCAATATACTGAATCGATGGACTCCAATTCGTGGGGGGAAACGGTGTGGTACATATCCCCTCGATAGGGGCCAGGCTGGTACGATGCCATCCACTGGTTGCACACAGTCCAAGTGGGGTGATATCCATCAGTGACACCCCCTTCTTACTGGTGTGTCCACGACCGATCCAGAAATATCGTTTTTTTCACCGCTTGCCTCAGCACGAGTAAGAAACAATGGTCCGTCCTTCGTTAGATTCTTCCCTTGTTACTTTTTCTTATCTGGCAAAGCTGGAAACGCTGCCTCAGCCACATACACAGTTCTTTTATTTCACAGTCCTTTCTCTTAAAGTTGTAAACAAGCCATAATCCTCCGGGGTTCTTGCCTGGGCCTCAACATAGCCTCTCCTCAGCTCACTTACTGATGATTCACCCATGCTAACCATTCACACTACCCATGATTCGTGACAGAGGTGTCGCTCCAATTGTCCCACTAACCCAAACTTTTCTCTCGTGACAGAGGTGTTGCTCCAATTGTCCCACTAACCCAAACTTTTCTCCCTTATTCATCCATTAGTATTACAATAATATGTCATTCAGACGTGTCAGGCAAGCACTTTTTAAAGGTTAGGCAAGAGGTTTTCATCTAATCATCACTTTCAGCAGATGCGTTTTTTCTTTTTCAGAGACTCCATGCCCGGGGCCCTGACAGGTCTCTGTCCTGGGGCATTTAGACAAGCTTCCTGTTTTTCTAAATTTATACCTCAGGGATTTCACTAGAGCAGCGGTCACCAACCAGTCGATCGGGATCTACTGGTCGATCTTGGAGCCTCTGACAGGTGATCCTGACTAGTCTGGCCAAGAGGCTGTCAAGTGCCAGCACTTCAGATGCCCCTCCCCCCACTGCTGTGCATGTCCTGCCCCTTGGAGCTGTCTCCTCAGGAGCCTTCTGCTTTCTGTGCAGGGCAGAGAAGGAAGAAGAGGGGAACTGATGTCAAGGTGCCCCTCTCCCTTCCAGTATCCTATCTGGCCCCTTCAAATCTGTATCCTTTCTCCACAGAGCAGAGAGGGGGGCACAGCAGGACGTGGGATGGAGTTTGCTGGCTGCTTTAGACCCACCGCACCACCACCCAGAAACCACCAGCAGTGCCCAGCTGGAGCCCACATCCCAAACTCCTACCCCAGTCATGAACCCCCCTTCTGCCCCCCAAGTCCCTGCCCTAGCCCCAAGCACCCCTGCATCCAAACGCCATCCCAGAGCCTGCACCTAGAACCCCCAACTGCCTGCCTCAAGAGCAGCTCAGAGCCCGTCTTACACTCCAGATCCCTACATCCAAGACCAGATTCTGCACCCCAACCCTCTGCCCCAGCCTGATGAAAGTGAGTGAGGATGGGCAAGAGAGGGAGGATGGAGTGAGCAGGGGCAGAGCCTTGGAGAAGGGGCGGGAAGGAGGCAGGGGCAAGGGTATTTATATTTGAGGTAGATCTTGGATTGCACTTCAATTCAAAAAGTGATCTCATGCTCAAAAAGGTTGGAGACCCCTGCACTAGAGATTTGGGCCTCAGGAAGGACGTGGGGTCAAGCTGTCCTCTCTGTGGCACTCAACCCCCTCCCGACTGTGGTCATGCTGACGTGGCTGGCTAGGTGTATTTATGGGCCTGCGAGCTTGGTTGCTAAAATGTAAGCAATAGTGGTTCAGGCTCATTACTGGATTTGCCGAAATCTCCCCGTACAGGAGAAGGGACTCAGTTCCTTTCACTAGCCCATTTCATCAGGGTCATGTAGGAGCTGGGAGAGTTCCCCACAATAGAGGGACCCTTTCCCCTTGGGCTCAAGAGCTTTCTGGTGCTGCTCTCACTTGTGGGGCCGTGTTTCTGCCCAGGCTGCTTCAGCAAGGACACCCCCCTCCCTCCAGCAAGAGAAACAGTCACTGGGGCAGGGCAGAGCCCCAAGAGCCCGATCAAAGGAGGTTCCCATGGAGGAGCAGGCGACCGCTGGCCGGGGTCAGGGGTGCAGCAAGGAGGTAACTAGGGGTGGGAAATGTTGATGAATTCGCTAATCGACTAGGCGCTGGGATTTCCACCGACTCTTCGGTGAGTCGATGAGGGCACCCGCACCTGGGCACTGCTGGATGCTTCTGACGGGGGCTGATGCCCATGTCAAAAGTAGAACGGCAGCCCAAGTGGTGCAGGCAGAGACGGATCCAGTCCCCACTCGTGACATTCCCTGCCGCGCCTCTACCTCCCCTGCGGAGACAGTGCTGGGGGGAACCGTCTTTGGCTGCTGCTCCCCCACCTTACTACCTCTCTCCAATAGAGGCAGCAAGAGGGAGAGTGACTAGTCACATCACTAGTCCACTAGCCACTAAGCTTCTGCTTATCGGAGAGTCGACTAGTCACTTCCATCCCTGGCAGTGACACCGGAGCAAGAGTGTGGACACTGGAGCAAGCTGGGGGCCTTTGTCCATCCCCCCGGCACCTCTGGCCCCCGAATCCTCGCCAACCGGAGATGCATAGGAGGGGGGGCAAGCTGAGGGGGGCGTGGAAGGGGCGTGGGGCTGGAGCACCCAAGGGTGCGAGATGGAGGCCCTGACCGCTGGTCTCTGGGAGCACGTTGGGCTCCCGGGTTTCTCTCTGGGAAAAGAGGCGACTCCCCCCCG